CATCGAAGTTCTCCGCCTGTCTGCTTATATGTTTCATCCTTCTCAGCCTCAGTTGGCCTTCACGGGCAGAGTTGAAGCAGCCTGTCTCCAAAATAATTTGAATTGTGTCGATTGGGGGTGGAAATATGTTGTGAGTATGATTTTTAGTAAGGATATGTCACAAATTCAGACTCCAAGCCGCCACGTCAGAATTGAAAGTGTTAAACTTGATCCAGCCCCCAAAACGGATGGGAAGACGATCAATTCACGAGTCATTTTCAAAGGAGCAGTACTTATTGTTGTTTTCTTTTCACAAAGAATAATCTATGTTCTTTTTTCACATACACACATGCGTCCCTACTCCCAAAGAATAATTGAAGTTCCCTTTTTCCGAAAAGTATTTAATGTTCCCTTTTTTTCCAAAGAGTATTTGATGTTCCTTTTTCCCAAAGAATAACTGATGTTTCCATTTCCCAAAAAGCAATAATTATTAAGTTCCTCTTTCCGAAAGAGCAATCATCATTGATATTACTTTTCCCCAAAGAGTAGACCTATTGATGTTTCCTTTTCTCAACCAGTAATTAATGTTCCCCGATTCCCAAAAAGTAATTGATTTTCCCTTTTGCCTTAGAGTAGACATATTTGACATTTCCTTTTCTCAAAGAAAAATGTCCGTTCCCTTTTCCCAAATATTAATTAATGATTCTTTGTCCCAAAAAAGTAACTGACGTTCCAATGGCTCAGTAAGTAGTGACTTTAGATTCAAATAATGTCAAGCAAGAGTCTGTGACACGGGGATCAGATGGGTGTCACTAGGGTGTGTCCTTCAGCAAGACACGACAACCCTAGCTCAAAATACAGGGCGCTGCTCAGTCAAAGTGTGTTTGGCACAGTGGCGACCGACAGTGGCATGGTTGTAAACTGTTCTGTATAATTTGTGTAATATTGTGTATTTATGTATGTATGTATTTATGCATGTATTTATGTATGTACGTATTTATAATTATGTATTTAGTATTTATGTATGTTTATGTATGTTTGCCTTTGTAAACCAAAGTGCCCTTCGTGTAATTTATTGTTATTTTATTTTTTAAATGTATTATAGGCCATCAATAACCAGTTCCGCCTGCATGTGGAAAGGGACGGGGCGCCGTGGGATGTGTTCAGGACAAACATAGAGACTCAGTACTCCCAAGCCTCGGTCTTGATACAGCTGAATAAGGAAGACTCTCTTCTTGGTCTCGGGGAATCGTCCATTCACTTTCAGGTCTGTCCCTTTTTGTGTGTGTTTGTGTGTGTGTGTGTGTGTGTGTGTGTGTGTGTGT